GAAACGTCAGCCTTCCTGCTCCTCTGATGCTGCTTGGCCTGCTGTGTTCATCCAGCTCTACACCTTGTTATCTCTTCATTAGTTTGTGGCAGACTTTGCATTTGGCATGCCAAAGGATACAATATTAGGTGCAATTTTTGCCCAGATTGATGCCACCACACAAAGCAGGGAATCTCTGCTAATGCCTTAAATGCTGCAAGTTATCTCAACGTACATCACAAAGATACAATTCATAAAATTGGACACTAAGCCAAAGAGGCAAATAATCTTAGAAGGAGAGGAAAAAGTGGTGAGGTTTAGGGAAATAAAGGGTATGCGGCCTAGACAGCTGAAGACATAGTTACCACTGTGTGGCAAAGGGTGATTGCACAACAGGCCATAATCAGAGGAAGGGACAGTTTGGGATGTGTTAGGCTGGAAGTGGTAAATAGAAAAAGTGCAAAGCCATGAAGGGACACAAACACAAGGATGAGAATTTTTAAGTTGTGGTTTTGAGAAACAAGGCACCAATGTTGGGGACAGTTTGTTTACTTTAAGGAACGTTTTAATCCTTGAACATAATTGTTTTTTGTATAGAAGACAAGGAAACATCAACCGTTTTGCTTAGAAATTGAATCCTTAGGCAGAATATTCAGCATAATATTCAAAACACCACTGGAATGATACACATTGCAACAGATAATTTCATGCAGTAAAACAGTTCTCCTGATCTTTCAGGAACACTGTCAAAATTTAAACTTGACTTTGCTGTATAAAAAAAATCAACCTAAGAGCTAATTCATGAGAAAATATGAAGGATTCTGACCTATGAAATTGCATTAATGGATTTCCATTTGACTCTTGACAGACTGAAAGACCACACTTCAGCTGCACTGATTCAAGCGAGCTATAATGTTGGTCCTACTTACTCAACGCTTTCTCTTAATTGGGTTTCCAGAGAACGTACTATTTCACATTTGCATGCTTGACGTAAACACTACTACAAATGACAAATTTTACAATGTGCCAAAAATGAATGCCTCTGACACAACATTGCCAGATTTGAATGCGTTAAGCATCACTCTGCATTGGCCCTGAAAAAACTGGGCCACCGAAATGTGAGTAAAGGAAACCTTTAGGCCCCTGTCTCTTAATCTACTCGATCAAATCACTGTCACATGGTGCATTTGTGTTTACACTCTATAACAGATTATGCGCAAACCTTTTCTTAAAATTAGTATAGACTATCCAAAAACAGTTTATCCATAAGAGTTTTAAAGTCCAACTTTTCAGCAGTTTTTTGGATGATAAAGCATCCACAATACGGAGCTGTTGTATTTTCGCGTGGGCTTCAGCTGAGAGCTCACCCTTTGGCCATGGTGATTGGACCATCCCAGGCATAATGCCCTCTGTCCTAATCCTTACGATTGGCAAATGAGGTTTGGAACATCGGCACTTAGTCTAACCAAAAGCAAAGGTCATTCAATATCAACAAAATAATGCATTGTCACAGGTTAAAAAAGCACCAAAATCAAAAATAAATATGATATATATACTGAGGGAGTCATAACAAGAGTGTGGGAAACATACTCTTGCATTGCCTCAATGGATGTAAGTACCTACCATGTCTAAATCGCGACTGTGTTTGCTAAACATTTGCTATCAAGGATGCCATGAAGTGTTAGTTGAAAAATGAATCATTAAATTATACAGCCAATCAAAAGCTATACTAAATGCTGAGCGAGCCTTTGTCTGGTTTGCACATAAATTAACAAAGCTTCTCCTATATAATTAAACTTAGTGTGTAGTGGGTTTACATTGAGGCAAGTTGCAAGTTTAAGTCAACACAAGTTGATTTACGGCCTCAGCTGATTTGCTTTAATGTCCTGTTGCAATAAAGAGGTATTCTGTATTTCACCCACCTCCTTAAGCTTTAACTTTCTAAAATCCAGCTTTAGGCAACTGAGGACTGCAATAGAGAAAGTGTTTGGAAAGCTTCAAATTAAATTTCCCTACCCAAGAAGTTAATGATAGTACTTTGTACAATGTTACATAGATGAGGGTTATGTTGGTCCTGCATTACTGCAAACTACACCCAATCTTTATATGTCATGATTATAATTTATTGGCCCTTTTTAAAACCAACTAGTTTTTAAGTGTCTCTATTTTAAGAAATGGGAGAGTATGGTCTGTAGAGACCATGGTTAAATCAAACCTAATAAGGTCGATACAATAAAGCAGTTATGCATGTACCTCATTTATTACAGAACAGAAGCCATGAATAACAGCATGATTTCAACATTATAAATCCTTGGAGGACTGTGGAACTGTTTCAGCACCACTTAGAAGTCTTGAAGTATATAACCATTCAATTTTTCTTCATTTCAAATATTCTCGCAAACAAGATTAGATTTATTCCAACACACTCTGGATAAGAAATGTACAAAACCGAACAATCCGTTTTATATTTTGAATACCACAGACACTTTTCCCTTCGAAGATTATCAGGCATTTGAACACTCTTTGATATAGTAGTGCATGTCAAATTGTGCTGTTTTATCTGTTTTAGTTGGATCACTTTATAGATGTTATTTAGTTGTCTTCTATCTGCAGAGGCAAGGAATAAGACAGAACACCAAAAATAATGCATATCTACCTTTACTTTCCAGCATACCATTAAATCGAGCTCATTTACCATAAAAATATGACAAATACTCACTGGTCCTGTACATAATATATTTATTTATAGCAATGATACAGAAGTTAAAGTGGCAACAATTTAACAGATTCTCTCTCCTCCTTGCAATTGTAGTCTAGTTTGAAGACATCAAGTCATGGAACAACTTTAAATCTATCCGGTTCTCCTTTGGTTTGCCAGAACAGCCGTATTCACTCAGTTTCAAAGGAACATAATGCTGCACGGAGGCAGCCAGCTGTCCAGCGCTTTGACTTCGAATTTTTATCCACGCTGGTTTCAGCCAACTCTTGAATCCTAGCATAGCAAAACTTCCTAAAATAAAAATAAATAAATTGTTAATAATTCCTAATTTTTATGAACTATGGTGGAGGTTGCACAACAGAATCTGAATATTCTCAGCTTTAGTGTATCTAAGCATATTTCTGTACAGGGAAATGTTGGAAACTTATATGGAGTAATATATTAGAACATGCGTTAAAAGACAGGAGGCAACAACACAATGTTTAATAATGAGTAATATGCATTATTTAGGAAGACTGGAGCAGGAGTTGGCCTTTGGCTGGCACAGTGGTTCAATGGTTAGCACTGCTGTCTCAGAATGCCAGGGACCTGGCTTTGAAACCCCTCTCAGGCAACTGTGTGGAGTTATATTTTTTCCTTTGTCTCATTATAGGTGACTCAGAACAGTGCTGGTTCTAATATATTCAGTTAGCTTTCTTGTGAGTGGTATAAACCCAGTCTTCCAATAGCAATTGAACGGGATGGAAAAACATTTGCATGCCCCTGATTTCTCAACTTACACTCTCAAATGGCAAGGCTTCCCTAGAGAACATACATTTGTCAAAACAACCCTATTATCATTGTTGTTTTCGTATCTTCATGCACTTCCCATGTAGAATTGGGAAGCACAGTGGTTAGCACTGCTGCCTCACAGCACTAGGGACCCAAGTTCGATTCCACCTCCGGGCGACTGTCTGTGTGGAGTTTGCACATTCTCCCTGTGTCTGCGTGGGTTTACTCCGGGTGCTCCAGTTTCCTCCCACAGTCCAAAGGTGAGCAGGCTAGGTGGCTTGGCCATGCTAAATTGTCCACACCTGACCAGGGATATGTACGCTAGGTGGGTTAGCCATGGGAAATGCAGGGTTAGAGCGCAGTGGTGGAGGATCTGGATGTGATGCTCTTTGGATGGTCAGTATGAGCTGAATGGTATGCTTCAACACTGCAGGGATTCTATGACTCAGCTCCTTGAGCCTGCTCTGCCATTTTAGATCCTAACTGCTCATCTACCTTAATACCATATTTCCATACTATGCCTATAACATTGATTATATTTAGATATAAATCAATCTCTATTTTGGACATACCTTATGTCTGAAGCAGAGACATCCAAATGTTCAATACTCTGAATGAAGAAATTCCTCCTCATCTCCGTCCAAATTGCCTGCCCCCTTACCCTGAAACTGCATCCACTGGTGTAGCCTAACCAGCTAACAGCAGTTATTCTTACTGCATCCATATTAGGACAGATAAGTCACTACTGAGCACGACATGTGTTTTCAAAAGCTAGGATGATAATGAAGCTGATCATATCTGATCACTCATCCTAAACTTTTCTTGTCCTCATTATAGCATTCACCTGCCAACTTGACAGATTTCAGAGCTTCGCTCCTCAACCCAGAAACATCAACAGATCTTATTCACTCTGTGACTATACGTCTGGACAAGAGCCATTAATTCTATTTCTGGAAAAGATATGTGAAAAACAATTAAAAATCTGTATATAAAAAGACAAATCAAAAAAAAATCAAAAACTTTTCAAACAACAAAATCCATGCTCCGATCAAGAACACAAGAAACAGAAGCAGGAGGAGACCATTCAGCTGGTCGCTCTTGTGGCTGCCATTCAATACAATCATGGCTGACCTTAAGCTTCAAATCCACTTTCAGGCCTACTCCCCATACCCCTTGATTCCTTGAGATTAAAAGTCTGGGTGTTCCTGTTTTACATGTATTCAAAAATGGAGCATTTTCAACCTTCTCTAATAGAGATTCACAAACTACTGACTGAGCAAATTTCTCCTCGTCTCAGTCCTAACTGATCATTCTATTGTCATAAGACTGTGACACCATGTTTTAGATGCTATGAACTACAGGAAGCATAAACTCCAGAGAGTTTATGGTCTCTCATTATTTCATTGAAAGGATGAGACCCTCATCTCAATGATTTTAACAACTTTAACAATATTGAGTTAACACAATAGCTGCAGTAAGGCCATGGAATCCCATTAGACAATCAGTTGCTGCCCGAGTGAGTACAAAGAGGAAACTTAAACATGGAAGGTTACAGTCCCAACATGATGCTTGCCTGATCTCCAATCCATTTATTTCAATCAATCAGTGAACATCCCTGGCTATGCGCTTGATCCAGCTGATCATCTATGCCCACGGACATGTTTGCAATCCATAATGGATTCAAAACAGTCAGATTTTTTATGCATCCATAATTTACCTACACCAGGCTTCCAATGACATGGAATTTACTCATTTATTTTGTGAGAATAGCCATTTGTTTTATTGCCCATTAAAAAAAATCACAAAATGCTCAGATCCTACTAATGCGTGGGAAGAAATGTACAGTTAATATGTCAACAGATGTTAGAATTTGTTGACTGATTTGAAACTTGCCAAGATTTTCAACACAAACACCGGGTTTGTGTGATTATAGTTTGAAATCTATGCAACTTCCTTTCTGCAGTATAATTTCAAACACTGCAGAAACAAAGGGTGTGACTTCCTTAGTAGAACATAGTGGTTCACATCAGTGAGAGCTGTGTTCCAGAATGAATACTGGCTCACACCACAAAGCTGGATGTTTTCTTATTCATTCATGGGATAGAGCATCATTGGCATTTATTGTCCATGCCTGTTTGCTCTTCAGAAGAACCTTTTTGAATCACTGCAGTTCACATGGTGTAGGAATACCTTCAATGCTGTTAGGGAGCAGGGTTCCAGTATTTTGACCCAGTGACAGTGAAGGAACAGTGATATATTTCTGAGTCAGAATGGTGTGTGTCTTGAAGGGTAACTTGCACTTGCATGGTTTTTCCATGCATCTGCTGCATTTGCCCTTCCATGTGGAGGTCACAAGTTTGGAAGGTGCTGTGATTTGAAATAAACCTGTTGGGCTATAACCTGGTGTCGTGTGACTTCTGACTTTGTCCACCCCAGTCTAACACCAGCACCTCCACATTATGTTTGTGGAGCCTCTGCCTCCAGTTAATTATTCAATTATCCACCGCCATTTACAATGAGGTATGACAAGACTACGGAGTTTTGATTTAATTTATTGCTCAGCTCTGTCAATAATTTATTGATACTGCTGGTTAACACGCAAGTAGTTTTCTGCTGTAGCCTCAATGAATTAACACCTTTTTTTTAGGTTAGATTGATTCTGTCCCCGCCTTGCTCCCCTACCCTCCAAGGGCTGGGTCCCCTGGCTTGATGTTAGTAGCTGAGTGAGGGATGTGCAAGGGTCACAGATTGTGATGGAATACAATTCTGCTGCTGCTGATGGCTCACAGCACCTCTTAGCTGGCCAAGTTTAAGCTATTTGGGATTTATTCCATTTGGCCCTATAGTAGTGGAGGTTGATTGAGAGGGTGGCGTGTGTGAAGATTTGAGTTTGTCTCCACAAGGACAGTGCAGTGGTCACTCCTACCAATAGTGCCATGGACAGATTCATCTATGGTAGATAGTCAGGGAAAGATGAATAGCAGTTCAGATCATCCAACTCAAAATGATGAACTAAAAGATCCCCTTTCAGTTCGTCTAGTTAATCCTTCCACAAACAACTCACATTCCCCAATACAGAATCTAATCATCTTTTAAATGCCAGATACAGTCTTCACACAGATATATCAGGTACTGGTGATTCATTGGTAATTATGTATTCTCCATATACAGTGATTAATCAGAGAACATTTCAAACTGACATTGTTAATTTGAAAGACAAGAATGGAGAATCAGCATAATCTAAAGCATCACCTTCTTTGAAAAAGTTGATTGGTTTTGCAGCACCGAGCCTCAGAAAAGCTGAAGACACATAATTTAATGCCCAGCCCAAGTCACCTCTCGAACTGACGAGAGCAATTGACCTGAAAAACAACACAAAAGATGAAAGCACTGACAGAAATAATGGCACTTTAATGTGAACCATTTATAAAACATTCCGAGGATGTTTTTATCACAAATAAATTGGGTATTTATCCAAAATGATAATGTTTCTCCAACACTTGTGAGTGCATAGGTTAAAGGAAAAGGGCAGGTGTTTGGATTATCAGCAAGCACTGAATATTTTACCACAAGCTGGTTACAAATGTCAAGGCAAATGACTTTAAAGAGATTGAAGCCCTGTAGACAGACAGTTGACTCGGAACCAAAGAAAATGGGTGTTTCTCAGATTAGCAATGTGTTGATGTCATACTCCAGGAATCTGTGCTGAGACAACTATTTTTCTATTTGAACAAAGGCCTTGAACAGAGGCACAAGACAAATGATGTTGAAGTTTGCTCTTAAAGCTAAAGGGAGCATGGCAGCCCATGGGAAAGAATGCAAGAAAATACAATGGGGTAGCAGGTGGGCAGATAGGTATCAGATGCAGTTGGCTGCAGGAAAACATGAATTAGCACACTTTGGGAAAGAGCAATACAAGTACATGTATCTCAAATGGCAAGACACTGTGCAAGGTGCAGGAGAGGAAACATTTCCTAACTCAGATCTCTTTAACACAAACACAGGAAAAGCTGGAAGCACAGCAGCATTTGTTGAAGCATCAGAGAGCCAATGTCATGAATTCATATCTTATTTCAGAACTAAAAAGTAAGAGTTGAACAAGTCAGTCATTAGAATTAGGAAACAAAATGGGAGGACAGAGGAGTAACAGCCAGATATAAAAAGCAGAAATAACAATGGACTAAATTCTGAATAATTTAAATTAATATCTCAATGAAATTGTAGAATTAAAAATAAAGAACAAAGATTAGGAGAAAATATGAGACAAGACTGGGGGAATGAGGAGGATGAAAAATCTGGGGATTGGGTTTTGAAAGTGAGAGATCAGAGTGAAATGAGAACCAGGTTGACTTTTATATTGTGTTTATCACAATATCGTAATGTTAATGAAGTTATACAAGGTGTGGTCAGCTCCCTCTCCTAAAGGGAGGAAGAAGTGAAGGTTAAATAAAGTAGGGAGGTGCTTGGAGTCAGGGATTACCCAAGATCATTACAGACAAGGGGGGGACATTGAACCCTCCAAAAATGGTCACTTATTTCTTCCTGTCACAATATTGAATGATTCCAGAGTTTTTGGCCTTTAATGTCGACCTTACAGACTATTCCAGATGTTGATCTCATTCTGCGACAATTTTTATTTATTCCCTCGTGGGGTGTGGGCGTTGCTGGCTGGGCCCAGCATTTATTGCCTATCCCTAATTGCCCTTGAGAAGGTGGTGGTGAGCTGCCTTCTTGAACCACTGCAGTCCTCCTGCTGTAGGTTGACCCACAATGATCTTAGGACAGGAATTCCATGATTTTGTCCCAGCAATATTAAAGGAACGGCGATATATTCCCAAGTCAGAATGGTGAGTGGCTTGGAGGGGAACTTGCAGGTGGTGGTGTTCCCATGTATCTGCTACCCTTGTCTTTCTGGATGGAAGTGGGCATAGGTTTGGAAGGTGCTGTCTAATAATATTCGGTGAATTTATGCAGTGGATTTTGTAGAGATCTACACACTGCTGCTATCGAATGTCAGTGGCAGACGGCGTGACTATTTGTGGATGTGTTGTGAATCAAGTGGGCTGCTTTATCCTAGATGGTGTCAAGGTTCTTGATTGTTGTTGGAGCTGCACTCATCCAGGCAAGTGGGGAATATTCCATCACACTCCTGAGTTGCGCCTTGTAGACAGTGGACAGACTTTGAGGAGTCAGAATGTAATTTTACAGCAAGATGCTCTGCTTCACCCAGCTTTCATTGACTGTAAATGGATATCAATGAGCCTGGAGCACCTGATGCCTCTGAGCTCTGTCATGGACAATGAGAGCTTCCTCCTCCCCAGTGCCCCATCCTCCTCCTTGGAAGACTGCTCCCATTCTCCCAGTTCCTCAGTGTCTATCACATCCCCTCACTGCCTGTTCCGATTGTGCAGAGCACAGCATGCCAGGATGATGCAGCACTCTCTATCCAGACTGAGGTGCATCCTGATCCACTCTGTGAGCTGGGTGCCTGTGCCTATTCCCTGTGCCCTTGTAGCAGCCTTCAATACAGTTGGCACGCCTGTAACATGAGCCTATGCTTCCTCAGTGACATGGCTGTGTATTAGAAAGGTGCCACGATGGTCCGGAAGCATTTGCAAGTGTGGGATGTGAGCCGAGTTGCCGTTTGATCACAGGCAACATTCGGGTCACTCACAGCAAAGTGATGAGCTGCATTTGTCAGGTGTCCCTATTGGCTTCCCTGTTGAGTTTCCCCAATGTTGAGCTTGTTTTTGAGTTTGGTAACAGAGGAGGCTGAATATTAATGAGGTGAGTTAGATCATTGACCTGGTCTTAAACAAATGATAATCCCTGTCAACAGGCTATACCCCAACTACTTAGTGAGTGTCTTGGTTTAAATTTTTTTTATTACTAACCTATATTTCTAGTCAACCTGTTCAGAGATTACACACCACTGGAGTAGGTGGAACTTGAACCTGAGACCACTGTCCCATAGGAACATGACCACTGAGACACAAGACGGCCTCACAATAATATGTTTAGATGTCACTAAGTAGATAGAATGCCTTAACCATTTGTGTGCTGTAAGGCCAATAGGACCTCTTCCTTCCTTAGCATAGGGAGGGCTAACCTTCTCTCCTTTCACACAACACATGAAAAACAAGGTGGTGTTTGCTGCTCTCAATGAAAGATGATCTTCACAACACCTCTTGTCGGATTCTGCTTTACATCATACCGTAGCCAATGTCGCTCAGACCTCTAAGATTCCACTCCAAAAACATCTGGGAAATCAGATTTGATTTCAGATTACTATGGAAGCAGGTGCTGATGGAAATCAAATTGAAAACACAGAGCCCTCGGAGGTCAGAGTTCAAAGCAGAGCAGTACAGGCTGGTTGGGCTGACATTGTGTGTGTGGAGCAGTTGAAACAAAGATAACCTAAAGGCTGGATTTAGCAGAGATAGTAGGAACTGCCGATACTGGAGAATCTGAGATAACAAGGTGTAGAGCTGGATGAACACAGCAGGCCAAGCAGCATCAGAGGAGCAGGAAAGCTGACGTTTCGGGCCTAGACCCT